TTGCATTCAAAGGTAGCCCATCTTCTCCTTTTTTCTGTGTCCAAACCCCTTGCTTCTAATCCTCATTTCTAGCTCCCTTGGGCAGAGAATAAAAAAGTAGGACCTGGCATGGTTCTTTCCCTATTGTCTACATCTGAGGGCTTCCCTGTCCTTTCCACCTCCGCACCATCCTCTCTCCATGCCAGATCTGGGAGCGGAAATGCCACGAAGGGAGATCTGCTGCACTTTTGTCCTTCCCCAAACCAAAGCACAGCCAACAACCCCTCAAAATAAAAGTGTGGGAGAGTTGTGCTTCCTCTTTAGTTCTCCTCAATGCCTGAACATTCCTAAGTGTGTTGCACAGAGACTTACTTTCCTTCTAGGAGGCGAGATTACTGTGGTAAGGGGTCTTCACTTACCCTTGGCCAGGCTTTCTTCCTGGGAGATGAACCCTCAAGGCAGAAGCTATACAAAGGCTGGCCTAGAGAGCAACAGCTTCCTGGCTCTCACTAGGGTGTCAGTACTTGTCCACGCTCTCTCTTTTCTTGGGCCTGCTGGGGCTTCCTGGGCTGTTTGGAAGAAACAAGCCCTGAGCCCTAAGAATTGCCCATTGGTCGGTGGCAAAGCTGCCTTTGCCCTCAGGTGAGGTTATCCAAATCTGACTCTTCCACCTGGAAAAGGTAAGTCTTGGGAGGGAAAAGAGCTAAACAGTGTTCAGAATATGTGTACACAATATGAGACATTAAACTACACAGAGAAACACAAATGTCATGTGAACCACAAGTTCATATAGGCTTAAACAGTGAGTTTTCCAGCAGAAAGTGCTTTTCTTAAAAAAATTAAATATTTATTCACTTTGAATAGATAATACAAGCACATCACACAAAATTTCAGAGGACATGGTGAAAAATAACTCTCTTTCCCACACTTGTGCCCAAATCCCTCCGTTTTCTTCCCAGGCACAACCACTGTTGCCTGTTCACCGTGCATCCTTCTGGAGACTGTCTCTGAAAATCACAAGCACAGGTGTGCATGCATGTGTGTACTTAAAAATACAATGGGCATATTGTATACACTGTGTGTTTAACTATTTTCACTTAGAGTATATTTTGGAGTCTTTTTTTCTTATTAGTTCTGTGAGGGAAGGGAAATTTCTCCTCTTAGTTCTTTTGGCTGGTCTAGTAAGTAAATTGACATGAAACAGATTAACAGGAAGAAACAACCAAATTTAATTATATAGGAGGGTTACTTAAGAACATGGGGCCTGAGGACAAACTGGGCAGTTGAGGCTTATTTGCCATTTTGAGTAAAGGTGTGGGGGGAAAGTTGTGGTTTGGGAATTCAAATGGAAAGAATGCAATTCAAATATTTAGTAAACATATGTTTGCTGGGCCATCTTTATAATGGCACACAGAGAGGTCTTCTTTCAAAGGTCCCTCCCTGTCTATTACGCACTAGTTCATATGTGTGTGTATATATATGTATAATTCTCACCCAAGGATAAGTTTATTGATTTTAGAGAGGGAGGAAGGGGGAGAGAGATGGAGAAAGGGATAAAGAGAGAAACATTGATGTGAGAGAGATACATTGATCAGCTCCCTCCAGTATGCATCCTGACCTGGGATCGGACTCCCAACCTTGGTATGTGTTCTGACCAGGGATAGAACCCGCAACCTTCTGTTGTACAGGTCAACACTACAACCAACCGGGCCACCCTGCTGGGGTCACACTAGTTCATATAAAACTATACTTATCTATGACAATAGCTTTTTTCCTGGGCCTATCTAAATTCTTTTTGGCATTTAGTGGGAAGGTCAAAGTTCCTTCCTGAGTCTTTGGTTCTTAAAAATAACCAGCTTAAAATAATAAATATCTCAGGCATGCTCTCCTTCCTGGGACCATGCCTACATCTTTCCCTTTTTCCCTTCCTTCTCCCACAGACCTGCCTCTCCTAACCTCTAAGGGACCGCAGGAGACTTGCAACCATGAGAGCAATGGGCAATGGCTGCTCATCCTGGGCTAACCCCCTGAACCTGTCCCCAAGGCTCCCTTTTCTCTGACTCTCCAGTGAGCTGACAGCAGCCCCACCATGGCTCACTTCTTTCCCATAAAGTTTCTAGAGAGCCAAAGCAGCCTGCCTAGTGTCTCTCCTGTTGTTTCTTCTATCCTAAGCCCTTTCTTGTTTCTCTGTTCCCAGCTTTAATAAATGTACTTAAATTTTTTAAAAAATCAATATCCCATGAAAGGCATATTTTGTTGTGGCAAAACTCTGCTCCCCTAAGTACACGTACTTTATAGTTTGGGGGTAGATTTAGAAAGCAGAACAAGCTTGTTCCCAAGTGATCCAGGGCTTTGTTTCAGATCAAGCTTCTGGCTGCTTGCCACAATGTGGCCCTGGGGCCACCTGAAGCTGTCTTGCTCAGGGAGACAGGCATCCTATCATGTGATAGGCAGGGAGCCAACTACCCTGCCAGATTTTACTGAAGGCTTTGTGTTCCCTGTCCTTCCCCTTGTCTGGAATTTGTTCTCAGTTTAACAGGCGAGGTACAAGTGCTAGCCTCCCCCGACCCCACCTAGTTACTCAGTTCTTTTTTTGAGATCTTGCAGGTAGGTGACCTATTTTCTGAGCAGTGCAGCGGCCATCTCAGAGAGCTGCATTTCTGCTTTGTGGAGAGAGGCTGGCAGGGACTGTGTTTATGGGATTAATGCCCATTGGTGCTGGCAGTGGCTTCAGCTTACTCAGGTCATGGTGAGCTCTTTTCTTGAAGGGGTCTGGAATGCAGGAGGTGGAATGGGACATAGCCCTTAATGATAAAAGCTGGTTGAGTGACTTTGAATCCATCCATAATTACCTTGTAGAGTGCTATTACCTTCCTTTCCTTTCCCTTGCTCTCTGCCTGCTGACCTTGCTTGTTTTCTTTTGATGAATTTATAATCCCCAAAACAGCTTGTGTCGAATCATCTTCATTTGATTTAGGTGTTCAAAGGAAAAATATCATAGTGGGTATTCCTTTAAATTTCCTCAGATCAAATTGCCTACAAGATTTTGCCAGTTGAATAAAGAAAAAGACAAAGTTAGATACACTGAACCGTTAATCTTAGAGAGGCACAATAGGCAAGGGCTTTCAGAGGTTTGATCTTTAAAAAAACCCCAGCTTTATTAAGATATAATTCACATATCATAAAATTCACCTACTTACATAATTCAGTGGTTTTTCAGTGTATTTATACAATTGTGCAATCATCACAATTGATTTTAGAACAATTTCATTAATCACTCCAAGAGAAACCCTATTCTCATTAGCAGTCACTTCCCATTTTCCCCCATATCCCCTCAGCCTAAGGTATCCCCTAATCTACTTTCTGTCTTTATAGATTTGCATATTCTGGACATTTCATGTAAATGGACTCATACAATACGTGGTCTTTTTGACTAGCTTATATTACTTAGCATAATATTTTCAAGACTCATCCATGTTGTAGCATGTATCAGAACTTCATTCTTTTCCATGGATGAATAAAATCTCATTGTATGGGTATGACATTTTCTTTATTCATTAATTAGTCCATGGACATCTAGTTTGTTTCCATTTTATTGGCTATTACGAATAATGCTGCTATGAACATTTGTGTACAAGTTTTTGTATGGACCTCATTCAATTTTTATAGTAAGTTTCTAAGGTACATATTCTATAGACCTCATTCTGTAGATAACAGAACTTCCAGAATGGGTTGAACACCACCATTACATTCCTAAGTGCATGCTTTCGTCAGTCTATGCTCATAGAGTTGAAAGAATTGTTTTGCCAGAATCTGTGGATATGCCTGTAGGAAGTGTCAACCTTAAAAATAAAAATATTCTTTTACCAGTAAAATAGGTTTATTTGGGAATAGTAGAGGAATTGCAATCCAGGACATGCAAGCTATGGCACACCACACGGTAAGAGAACAAAGGGGTTTCTTATGAAGAAAAGGAAGTTGGGAGGGGATGCTGTGAAGGAAAGTACACTGGAGGAGAGCCAGAGTTCACGGTGGTGATGGCTACTAATTGGCTGGGTTTTTGCTGGATAAGAAGAAAATCTTCCTCCTGCTGGAGTAGTAAAGTCAACTTCTTCCGTGTGAGAACCGTTTCTTCCTCTGCGAGTCTACAAGGTGCAATGAGTGATAAGTGCCTGAGCACTTACCTCTTCAGGGTCTCCCGACTTCGTTTTAGATGAGGTTTCCTTTATTCATTTTCACACGAGGAATTATAAACGGAAACAGATAATTTTCAGTTGTGAAATTTCAGCCCCCGGCCCCCGTCTCCCTTCTCTCTCTGCTCTTTTCTCCTTTCCTAGTTTTCAGTTCTTTTTTTCAGGGATCACGTCCCCTTGGAGTGGGAGAAGGATTTATTCCTTTACACTTTTGTGTGGCACGGAATATTGCTGGACTCTATTTGCATTTGAGTTATCTACAATGAGATAAAAGCTCCTCTGTTAGTAGCGGGCAGATGGTTGGTACTTGAAGCAGTGGGCAGCGAGGAAACTTCCCGAAAAATCTTGTTTTCTTGCCCTATTCCAGGGTTTCACGGATGAAGGCCATCCATTTGAGCAGTTGGCGTTACGCGCGGCCAGCCACCTCCTCACAGCCTCTCTGCGAGGCTCCCCTCCATCCAGGCCAAACACACCGTTGCTCGGGCAACCACTCGCCCAGGCAGGTGGCACCCAGGGAGTGCCTGCGAGGAGCCCGCACATCGCAGGATGCTGGGTCGCCCCCTCCCCCCGCCTAGAACACAACGTCACTCCCACCCCCGCCCCTCAGCGCCTGTGGGACAAGGCGCAATTCGGGGCCCCGCCTCCCTCTGTGGAGCCTGCGGAAGCCACGAATCAGAGAGGCTGACACAGCGCCCGGCTGGGCGCCAGGCAACCAATCCCTGCAGGCGTGTGATCCCGCGCCTGCCTGGGAGGTTGGTGGCAGGCGCTGAGGCGGCAACAGCGGGAGTCGCTGTTGAGGCGGCCGCGGGCGCGGGTCGCGTCGGCGCTGCTCCGCGGGGCCAGGCAGGGCTCGCGGCTGCTGGCGCCTGGCCGTGAGGGAGGGCTTTGGGAGTGGGCGGAATGGCCCCCACCTAGGACATTGGGAGAAGCGGCTGAGCCCAGGATGCTGGGGAGGCGGTGCGGTGGCTCCTCACTCATCCCAGGTAAGGGGGACGCTGCTCTCGCTGTGGCCCCGCTGCCCGCCCGCCACCGCCCACCTGGCTCCGAATCCCACCGGCTCCATCCTGACATCCCTTGGCCCCACGTGGCCTCTCCCGCACACCTCCCGGTTTGCCCCCCGTGCAGTTCTTCTGCCCCGCCTCACAAGCACGGAGCCTCGCCTCACGTTGTGGCCGGGCCGACCCCTGCACGCACCCCACTTCCCTCAACGCCAGCGTTTCCGGGTCTCGGGCTTCGAGATCGCTCAGCTCGCCATCCCCCACCGCGTCCCCGCTGGAATCGGCCTCCCACCCCCTCCCCGCCTCTCCCCTCCCTTTTCGTGGCGCTGACACGGCATCTTAGCCCCTGCAGTTCTTCGGGGCGCTTTCCCAGGATTGGACCCCGTCCCCCCATCCCACGGGGATCAAACTTTTGCCCTTACCTCTACCTGGGCCTCGCTTCTGCAGGCTCACCCCCATCTATACCGTGTACTCTATACATTTCACACCGCTCTGCATAGCCCCGCCCCGTGTCTGGGGTCTTACCCGTTTGCTCTTAGGTGCCTTCCTTTCCAAACTCACCTCATCCCCCTTCACTTTTCATCATCCATTGTAGCTAACACTCTTCCTTTACACTTTAAACCTCAGACACTTTAATACTTTCCTGTATGCCAGATCTATATAGTTTTGACATCTTAATTCGTCTTTAAGTAAGCTGTAGCCATAACATGTAAAGTTCCTTGCCTGAAGTCTGTCACGCAGTAGGCCTGGCCCATCGTGGATGTTCACACATGTTAGTCTTTTAGACCTCCTTCTAGGCTTTTGTACTTTCCAGATGGTGGTAGCCAGAGGTCTAGTATCCAGAGGGATCGCCCATTACATGAAGAGTGGTATGGATGATGTCAGGATGAATTAGTGAACTCTAAAATGTGACAAGGGGATTAAATTGTCAGTTACTTACTTACTGCATATATTCAGAAGAATTGAATAAGTCCTTGTGTTATATATTGTTTTATATTTTATATGTATTGTTTTATGCTATTTTATATTAACTGGCTGTATTAGTGATTTTTAGTGAGCTTTGCAATATAATTACTCCCTTACTCCCTTCCTCCCCATCCCCATCCCCATCTTTTTTAGGAAAGAAAGAGCCCCTATCTTGCAGTTGAAATAGCATTGTATGTAAGAAGTGTTTAATGTGTTTGTCTCAGCTGGCTAGTCCAGTCCTGCAGTTAATTTTCATCATTTAAGAGTTTGGAGGAATCAGGTTTAGGTTTCTTGGAATCAGCTACTGAAGGGATCGAAAATGCTTAGGAGTGACAATTCTGACAAGTTGTCTGAGAGAGAAAGAGTAATACCCGCCACCTGCCCCATGCCTCCAAAACACTTGTCTATCAGAGGAAATAGCTGCAGTCCATTTCCCAAAGAGTAATATAAATTTGACTTTTCAAAATTATAAAAGCTATTTTACTGGCCTCAAGCCATTCTTGCCACATTTGCTGTGATGGTCTCCAAGCCTGGATGAATCAAACAGTTCGCTTTTTTCCTGCTCCTGGAATCTCCAGAGCAGGCTGGAGAGAATAATGTAACTGAGCTGCTGGTGTGATTCTAAACTGGATTCCTGGACATGCTTTGACTTACGTCTTAGGTTCCTCTTATGTACTAACAACCTAAGTGGCTGTTTATAGATTTTTTAGCATCTCCTCTCTTTGTCCTACTCTTGACTTCTTTTCATTGTTTATTTTGCTTGCTACTTCACAGAAGAAATTGGTGGGTGTGAGCCCTGAACTCTTAAGGGTCTGTCATTTTTCTGTGTGCCCGTATCTGATTTCTGATCTTTTGTTTTATCAGAGTAAGTCCTCCTGTCTAAGGCTAACATCTCTGATCTCCCTCTATATTCCCATTTTTTTTCTCAGCCTTCATACATACTCAGATTTCTACCATCTAGAACAAAAACAAAAGCCTTCCTTTGGCGCTTCCCCTTTTTTCCTTCAGATTAATGTAGTATTCTTTAGAGTTTCATTTTTGGTTCAGTTCTCTATAATTTCCTTATCTGGTTATACTTCCTTTCATGGCTTCAAATAGCACCTGTATATTTATGGTTTTCAAAGATGTATATCCAGCCCCCATTTTCTTGAACTTCAGGTGTTTCTTATTTTAATCTGTCTGTTAGATATATATACTTGGATACTTGGTACTTTAAACTTGGTTATCTTTTCCTTTCCCTTCCCTCTACTCATAGCCCCCTCAAGCACATATACAAACACTCCTCCTATTTTAAGGTCTTTACTCTTGAAAGTTTAGCATCCTCTTATCTTTTGATATTAAGTCTATAGTAGATCCTATTTTTCCTACCTGAAATCTTCATCACCTTATTGCCAGGAGATTGGTTCAAGCCTGCGCTATGTTTCTCCTAAATATTGAGTCAGTCATTTTTAACCCAGACACTACTTTAAAACACCTTGGGAACTTTTAAGAAGTAAGGGTGAGCCCTGACCAATGCAGCTCGGTTGGTGTAGCATTGTTCTGCAAAGCAAAACATCACTAGTTTGGTTCTGGTCAGGACACAAGCGTGGGTTGCTGATTCAATGCCCAGTTAGGGCACATACGATGTTTCTCTCCCTCTCTTTCTACCTCCCTTCCCCTCTCTAAAAAAAGAAAAGAAAGAAAAAGAAAAGGAGAAAAAAGGAAAAAAAATAAGTAAAATGATCAGATCAAAGTACCCATAGAAATTCTGATTCATTTGGTCTGGTGTGGGTCCAGACCTTGTCATTTATTTATTTATAAAAGTCAAGCTCTAATTTTATAAAAATTTTTTCCATTACCATTTATCCCTCTATACCGTCTTCTGCCTCCACCCACCCCCACCCAGACCTTGTCGTTTAAAAAAATGCTTCCCATATGATGGTAATGTGCAGCTAGTGCAGAGACCGGGGCTGAGCGCTTGATGAGGGAGTGATAGAACCCTAAGGAATTTTAATATTTAACCAACTTTTAAAAGTTAGGATGAGTGCCACTTTTTGTTGGCATGATTTGCTGCTTACTTTCCTGGTACTTTGTACATGTACCATATTAAAGTGCATGTATCTATTATTACATTTTATCTAAATTATTTCTCATGGGTCCATTTTTTCTCAAGACTAGGAATTTCTCAAGGTCTGGGACTATGCCTAAAGGTAAAATACTGTTTCTTCTACACTACACACAACACTTCTGATGCCAGATACATGCGTTTTCCCTTTACATTAAGCAGATCTTCAATTATACAGACACCAACTAGATGTCCTACAATTTAGCTCAATTATGACACTAACTACCTTGAGTTAGTACAGACTGTACAGATCAAGGACCCAGTCCCATGAGGCTGTGCTTCACTTAAGATGCCAATTACAAGTTCCAGGTTGTGACCTGTGCTTTAATTTATACCAACTGGCTATAAATTGGGGCTTCCCATAATCTCCTCAGGTTGATAACTTGCTGGAATGGCTCACAGAGCTCAGAAAAGGTCTTTACTTATGATTACTTGTTTATTATGGAAGAGATGCATAGGGCAGGGTATGTGGGAAAGGGCATGGAGCTTCCATGCCTTCTCTGGGCATGCCATCCTCCCAGCATCTTGATGTGTTCACTAGCCTTTAAGCTCTCCAAAATCCTTCATTTAAGGTGTTTATGGAGACTTTATTACACAGGCCTAACTCATTAAATCATTGACCACTGGTCGCGAACTTAATCTACAGCCTCTTTCTCCTTGGAGGTCAGGGGTTGGTTCCTTTGGTAAGGAAGATGTGGTCGGAAGGGGCTTATTAAGTATAACAAAAGATGCTCCTCTCACCCCTTTCAAGAAATTCCAATGATTAGCCCTGGCTTGTGTGGCTCAGCGGATTGAATCCCAGACTGCAAAGCAAAGGGTCGCTGGTTTGATTCCCAGTCAGGGCACATGCCTGAGTTGCAGGCCAGGCCCCCAGCAGGGGGTGTGGGAGAGGCAACCACACGTAGATGTTTCTCTCCCTCTCTCCTTCCCTTCCCCTATCCCTAAAAATAAATAAATAAAACTTAAAAAATAAATAAGTAAATTCCAGTGATTATAGAGCTCTGTGCTAGGAACCAGGGATGAAGAACTAACATACTGTATATTCTAATCTATAATAATTATTATATCACAATATCACAATGCCTTATTTATCTTTTTGTCACTTTTTTACACACTACTTGGTATATTTTAGAAATGATAAAAATTGGTTGAATGAATCAGTTTGATAAATGATATAAAGGAGACCTTAAATTCAGTTTTGCAAACTGACCAGCTGTATCTTGGCTGCTTGACAGGTCACTCATACTTGCACAATCAATCACTTTTTCAAAAGATTTTATTTATTTATTTTTAGAGAGAGGGGAAGGAAGGGAGAGAAACATTGATATAGGAGAGAAACATGAATCAGTTGCCCCTTGTACGTGCTCCAAACAGGGACTGAACCCACAACCTAGGCATGTGCCCTGACTGGGAATTGAACCAGCAATCTTCCAGTTTGCGGGACTGTACCCAACTGAGCCATAACAGTTAGGGCTACTGTCATTCTTGCCTCTTGGCTGTTTTATCCATTTACATTTAATATAATTACTTGTCCATTAGGATTTACATTTGCCATTTTGCATTTGTTTTCTATATGTCTTCTATCATCTTAGTTTATCTGTTCTTCCATTATTGACTTTTTTAGTATTAAATGTTTTCCAGTGTGTATTTTAATTAGCTTATCATTTCTTTTATAATTTTTCTTTATTTTCCTGGTAATTACAATTAATATTTGAAAACAATTTACTTCTGATTAACACCAACTTAATTTCAATAGTATGCAAGACCCTTGCTTTAATACAGTTCTGTTAATTTCCCCCTCCTTAGTACCTAAGTGTCATTCAAATTACACATTTCACATTAAAAACCCATTGACAGTTTAAAAATTATTGCTGTATGCAGTTGTCTTATAATTCAGGTAGGAACAGAAAAGAGT